GTGTGTGTGTGTGTGTGTGTGTGTGTGTGTGTGTGTGTGTGTGTGTGTGTGATACAAATAAAATGAACATAAAGAAAGGAATGTTAAGGACTTTACGATTGAGCTGCTCGTAGGGGTGGTCGAGCCTATCATGCTGGCTATTAATTAAGAGGTTAACGACCGACAAAGTTGGGAAATAACCAGAAAATTATAAACATGAAGAAAGAAAACGTAGAAAGAAAAAAAAACCCATACCCCTTGCACTCCAGCATGTAATGGGATGGTAAAACCTATCAGAGCTGGCCAGGAAGAGGTTAATGGTCTACTAAGTTTACAGGAACTGAAAAAAAGAGCAGTATGGTCGGAAAGAAAGGAAAAGTATAGGAATATTATTACAACATAATTGCTTGAAATTGGAAGGAAGAGCCCACCAGACTTTGCCTGCTAGAAGGTTATTGATCGTCGAAGTTTTAAAACTTTTGGAAGGACCAGATTTATTATGTTTTAGTTAGAGTGTTAAGGTACTTGCAACATAATTAGGTCATGTAAATGCTGAAGGTTAGAGGAGTTACAAGAGAGTAACATACACAGAGCAGGGGAAGAGATTAAGACGATAGATGTTTGATGGGAAAGAATGAGCAAACCACCTCAGAACACCCGCCTACCGCCCACTTTTGGTTATAATTTTTGTAATGATTCAAATCTGTCTTAGTGCAAAACCGGTATTGTCAAAGAGAAACGATGAGACACCTAGAGAACATGTGGCAAGGATAAACCTAAGTAAAGTTCAGAGCAAATGGAGAAAGACTAAAAAAAGTAACTGGTGTTCTGTTTCGTCCAGTGCCGGATCTTTTCCTTGCAATAAATCTCCACTCCTTTAGGAAACTGCATCAAGCGTCGTCCAACAGATGGGTAGGATATCATAGAAGGTGCGCATTACACTGTCTGCACCGCCAGAAATAGGCCCCTCTCAAATGGCTCGGTGTTGGGTCATGTTTCGACGACCCTACAATTTCTCCATCAGATGAAAGGTGGCTAGATCTGACCCCCTGGCCGGCGCACACCTCGTGGACTGATCCGATAAGCTTTATTGTTTCTCTCGGCTTCACACCTTCCCACCATTGCACCGCCGCCGAGTGGAAGACCGGGGAGAGTAGTTGTACACTTTGCTATGACAACTGATGGCAGGTGTGAGCGGACAGAATAATGGTTGTTGTTGTTGTTGTTGTTGGCAGTGGTGGGGGCGTTTTGTTGTTGTTGTTGTTGTTGTTGTTGTTTTTGTTGTTGTTGTTGTTCTTGTTGTTGTTGTTCTTGTTCTTGTTGTTGTTGTTGTTGTTGTTGTTGTTATTGTTGTTGTGGCGGTGGTGGCGGGGTGGTGGTGATGGTGGTAGTGGTTGTTGTTATTGTAATTGTTGTTGCCAATTTTTTTTGTTATGAAGATTGTTTCTGTTGTTCAAATGCATCGCTCATTGTGGGCTATTCCGAAATTGTCCAAAGAATACTTCAAGAACAAGAAATAGTTCTTAGATGCTCATCCGTACTTGTTTGTTCATGTACTACTTAGCTTTAGTAAGAGTTTATGGCATTTGAAACACATTAAGGTCATATAAGTGCCTAAGATTGGAGGTGTTACAAGAGAGTAACAAACACAAAAAGGAGGAGAGATAAGGACGATAGATGTTTGATAAGAAAAAAAAGGAGCAAACCACACCAGAGCACCCGCCAACCACCCACCTCCGTGTACTTCAGAATGTTTGCCTTTCCCTGTACAATGAGTGCATCCCATGCCTATCCTTCCTAAATGGCATCCATTTTCGTTAAAGGATTACAAAGAAATGTGCGGCTGAAGCTCTGGGTACGAAACGAACAAGGACATAGGCCTATCGCGCTGTCCGTCCTACAAGCGTACATTAACTTTCCTCTTGAAAATAAACCCGTGTGCCAAACAGAGGAGACTCGATTGCTTCATTAAATATGCAGGATTTAGCAGTACCTCCTTTGCTTTTTGACAGAGCCGACTCACTTCAGTCCGAGCTGAACCAAAACATTTCAGTGTCAAGAGTTAAACGATTGACTAAGTATGCCTGCAATGTGAAGACTATCGTTGAAATTATAATGTTTAATGTGGCAGCCATATTGTTCGAGCGTCTTCCTATCCATCCACGAGTGTGTCACGATGTTTGGTAGTTTATTAATAATAGCCCTTAGGATTGTTTGTGATATTCTGGTTATTCCTCAAGCTGGTTTTTCTCGTTACATTGATAATACAGCGTCCACATTTTGAACTAGACTTGTGCCCACATTTTTGTATTTCACAGGGATGCATTTAAAAAATGATAGACAGAGATTTTAAACAGTAAAAGAAGAAGCAGCGACAGAAGTACTTGCCTCATCGAACTGGATACAGTATAAAAATGCACAGTACTTGAAATCTGTAGCACTATAACAGACTGTATTAATTTTTGGACCCAGAGTGGAGATAAATATAATAGTTATGTTCAGTGCTCTTTTCAAAAGTTGGATTAAGAAAGCGGTGTCTAGACAAGAACCCAAGAAGTATCGTTGAAAAAGCAATGATTTTAAACAAGTCTAGGGTGAGACAGATATGTCTACCCCGTTCACTATAATGTTGGATAAAGAATACGAGATCTCCACTTGAAACAAAAGAATCAAAAGTGTCAAGAAGTTTGGTTTGATACAAAAACCTGTACAGATGAAATAGGGAGAGTGGCGTCCATAATGTATTCTAAGCGGCTTGTCATTTTTTAACAGATGAAACTGTTCGGATAATCATGTGGCGGGTTACTTTGACCCTGTCTGTCTGTTCCAACTCACTCGCACAGGATGGGATACATCTCAACAGCACTATAATAAAGATTGGAAACAAATAGTCTCTGGTGTTTGTTTTCTTTTGTTTGTTTGTTGTCTGTTCGAGTAAAGAGAGCACGTCGACACAATAATGGTCATTTAATACTGGGAAACTTTAAGGAAGTAGAACATGCAGGTGGCGCTCTCCAACATCTCACATATGGCGTTTGGAGCCTGGGTAAATAACTTTCGTGGCGGCGTGCAAGGCCAAAGACCTTAACAATTACACAATGAAGCCAGATCAGAAACAGAGACAGACTAATAGATACTCAATAATTGCCCCTTTAAGATACTCGGGGAGGCTGGTAGGCGAAGTGGAATAAGCGAGCTGGAATCAGGAGTATAGACTGAACGACCTAAATGTGTCTGGGGTGTAATGGTCACGCTTTTAGCAGCACGTAGAACTTTCTTTAGTATGGGGTTTTACGGCGCTCGCAACTGCATACGGTCATATGAGCGCGTGAAACACAAGTTAGTTTTTTATTTTGCTCGTAGAACACACGAGCTACATTCCCATGAGAGGAAGTTATTTTACGTAATAATGTATTCGTCTGTGTGCTTTGACACTGTAATCCTACTCAGCCCGGGTTGGCTCTAACAGACAAGGTTGATGCAGCCTGCTTTCTGGTTTCTTTAAATTGTGTTGATGTAAAAAGCTACTAAAACAATTAATAGAAACAGAAGAAGAGAAGAGAAGACTGGGGAGGGTAACAACTTACTTTGATGTCGTCCGGGGGTTCCACTTTGACCGTCACGCCGTCTGCAGCCGCTCGCGAGGCTGGGCCAGCAGGCGACCTCGTCACTGTCGCAGACGCCGATGACGTTGCTCGTGTCGTCAGGAAGTTGGGCGGGGAAGCAGACGACAGGGACGTAGGAGAAGCAGCATTTTCAATGACGTCATCGTCTTTCGTTTTAGTTGTTTCAAACATATTACAGGAAGCAGTAACCTCTCCTCCTCCTCCTCCTCCTCCTCCTCCTCCTCCTCCTCCTCCTCCTGTGTTGGGGGACTTTTGGGGGGAGTTATCTTTTCGCAGAGGTGAAGCCAGAGGTGGCGTCTTGTTGGAAAAGGGTGTGGAGTGAGAGGCTGTCGCACATGATACTGTCTTTGTCTCGTGGGGAACGACAGATTTTGTTACCTCCTTGTCAACCTGAGACGATTCACTCACGGAACTCTCGGCGACAGGATCCACCTCGTCCGTGGCTCCGTCGTCGCCATTAGGCAAAGAAACTTCCAGATCTTGTTTGCTGTTGCTATGGCTATTGTGAACACCAGGCTCATTGTCAGAGTCTTTGGCGCACTTCTGTGGGGTTCCTTCCTCCATGTTACGCTCACACACTTCACCAGTCTCCAAGTGACTCAAAATTTCTTATCTCTCCTCATACAAAACATATCAACTAAAACCGCACCCTCGCCTATGCATTTACATATAATACATAAAGAGTTAATTCTTTCAAGACTGTCCGAGGGAACAGAAACAGTACATTTCATCCATTAGAAGAAAACTGTATTAGGCAAAACTATTCTCTTTTCAAAACAAAGAGGTGAACGTCTTATTACTTTATCTTCCTTTCAGAAAACAATTCTGGAACATCCATTGTGGATTATAAATAGTAATCATCCAGTAGTTTCTAAGCTGGAAAGAGGATTCAAACATCTACTATCCAGCGCAGCTTGATAAGTATTCCACAATGAGGTGTAGATCCTGTTATTCCTCTTTCTGAATGACCACGGGCCACTGTCGGCATCTGGAGAAGAGAAAGAAAAAGTGTATACATTATTCTGTTTCTTTGTGCAGGTTAAAAGGTATGCATATAATTGTGCGCGCGCACAAACACACACACA